ACCATGGGGGGTCAGCGACCCCAGGTCACCGAATGGAGGAGGAAAACCTACAACATGTCCAGCACAGCCATGGTGACCCTGCAGAAGGATGATGTCCCCTCTGAGCTCATCTGTGAGGTGCAGCACTCCACGCTGCTGGCCCCGCTGCGTGGCAGCTACCAGCTCAGCAGAGTCCTGCGAGGTGAGGGCTGGGGACTCGCGCTGGGGAGTCCTGCTGCTGTGGGGCTGGGGTCCCTGGGAGGAGGACAGGGCGCCCTGTGGGCAGCAGAGCCGTGACAGCAAACACCAGGCTCTGCCTCTCTTCCCAGTTCCCCCCAGCGTCGAAGTGCGCGCCGAGCCGAGCCCCGTTGAGGTGAACAAGACCGTGACCTTCACCTGCCTCGTGAAGGAGTTTTACCCAGCTAACGTGTCCGTTTCCTGGCTGGAGAATGGGATTGAGATAAAGGTGCAGAACATCTCCCGGCCATGGAAGCTGCCCCGGGGCTTGTTTGAGCTGAGAAGCCAGGTGGAGGTGCAAGCGACGGAGGAGAAAAACGGGTCCACGATCATCTGCACGGTGGTGCACGATGGCCAGGCCCCTGCCAACTACTCAGCCTCCCTGTGGATCTCCAACCCGGCCCCAGTGGGATTGATCGATGGGTTCCAGATGGATAAGGGTGCGTCAGAGCTGCTGGGAGGGGGTGCTTGCCAGGGTGGCTGTGTGGTGTCACCCCCTGAGGAAGCTCAAAGCCCAGTTAAAATCTGGTTGAAGGATATATCTATATATGGATATATATATCCATATCATATCAGGGGGCCGGGGGATGTGACGGTGGCAGGCACCGAGCTGTCCTCCTTGGTGCTTCTTGCATCACTGGGCCAATCTGTGTTGTGAGGCTGCAGGGACTGGGAGGTATCACGTTCTTGGGCCATGGTGACCTTTTCATTGATGTTTCAGAAGATATGCTCATCTACATCGTGGTGGGCGTGGTCTGCACCGTGCTGGCCCTGCTGGTGGCTGCGATTCTGTACCTGATCCGGACCAAGCAGATCAAGGGTAAGGGGGCCAAGTGTGGGGCAGGGAGGAGCTGCTCCCAACCCCGTTTTTCCTCTCTTTCCCATGGGTTTTACATTGCCCCATTGGACAATAACTCCTGGCAGTGCAGCTGCAGGTCCTGCCCAGTGGGGTGATGGATAGAGCTGCCCAGGTTGTTTGCAGGCTGCAGGGAAAGCTCTGGCTGGTCTAAACCGTGCCCTGCACCTCCTGTGCTCCCCCAGGAGCAGTCCTGAATGAAATTGATTGAAACTCCAGGGAATTGCAGGTGCTTGCCTCTGGGAAAAGATGTGTCCTTGTCCTTGAAATAGTCTCTGCATGTGTTCTCTGTGCCCAGGGAAATGGGGCGTTTATATTATTTCCTGAGTTCTTTTTTCCCTAATTTTTTTTCCTAATTTTTTCCTTCTCTTTCAGCAGGTAAAAGCTCACCGTCTGCTAGGTGAGTGCAAATCTCTTCTAGTCACTGAGTAACCTGTGGGAACTCTGAGCTGGACATCTCCAGTCCACAGAGTCCCTCAGGCTGGGGACAAAGCTGTATCCCCAAAACTTGTGAAAGGGAAGGCAGGAGCACAGTCTCTGCCCATCTCCCCAGCTGGCGTTCTGGGGATTTTTTGCTTGTGGTGGGGCTAAGCAGGCTGGTGGGAGCTGGTCTCTGGCCAGCAGAGAGGCAGCTGGACCAGCACAAGCCAATGCTCAGGACCTGGTGGCCTGCTCAGGTCTTGCTGGGTGCAGCTGCAAGGACCTTGGCTTGCATCTGACCTCCCCAGCTGCTCCATCACCAGGGAAAGGGCAACAGGACCCTCCGTCTATCTGACTGTTTTTATCCCTCCTTCCAGGTTACATGAGCCAGAGAAGAGCAGCGAGGCCACAACCCAGGTGGGTCATCCTGGGACTGGGGAGGGAGAGTAGCCGGGAGCCACTGGAGATGGGAGTGGAGAGTGGTGGTTCTCCATGAAACATCTCAGTGTCGCCACTCTGTGGCTGGAGGTGGAAGAGAGGATGCCCCAGGAAGAGGATAGCCACTTCCCAGAATCTTTTCTGCCTTCACCCTCCCTCCTCCTCCTCCTTTTTCTCCTTCTCCTTCTCCTCCCAGTAAAGTCTGGGTTGGTGCTGCCTGGAGAGCCAGCTGTGCAATAGCCAGCCAGGCTATTTGTGGAGTTATTTTGCATTTGGTGACGCAGCTATGAGCGAAGTCGTGATCAACAGCAATCTGTCCATCCCACCCAGGCTCTGCCAGCTCCCGCGTGGGCATCACTGGGCAGTCTGGCCCTGCTGGGATGGAGTGATGGAGTGGCTTCAGTGACAGCTCTGGAATTGTGGCAGTGGTTTTGAAGCCAGAGCAGGGTGACAGGGTGGCTCACAAAGTGAAGCTGTAGCGGGGGGTAGAGCATGGCTTCAGGGTGGTGGCTGCTGGCATTGTTCCCCCATACAAGCAAGGCTGAGGTGCCCCAGGCCGAGCTGCAGTGGGATTGACTCCAGAGCAGGGCTGTGGGTACAGGGGCATCTTCCCAGAGGAGGAACTCTTGGTGCCTCACACAGGAATCCGACCCCAACCTGACCTACGCGGACCTGAACTTCGACAAGGAGAGGAAGAGCATCCGGCGGATGGTGGAGATGAGCCAGCAGTCGGAGTACGCCTGCATCCAGACCAACCAGGCGCCCAACGGCGACGACAACCTCACCTACGCCGACCTGGACATGGTGCACCTCAGCAAGGCGCCCAAGCGGCCGGCCCCGCGCCCCGAGGAGGCTGGCTCTGAGTATGCCAGCGTCCAGATCACCAGGAAGTGAGCAGTGGCTGCTGGGAGCCCCTGTCCTGCTGGGAGCAGCTCTGCTCCTCCCTGAGACTGTTCTCTTGGAAGCACCGGGAGCGATGTGACAATGCGCTGCGGTACCTGTCTTTTAGGATGGAAATGGAGCCCGCAGTACTTGTGGGGGTCTTCTCCCATCCAGAGAGACGTGACTTTTGGGGGCAGTTTGGTCCTGGGGCCGCCAGCTCCATCCCTTCAGGACCCCCATCAAGGGTTGCTCAACCTCAGTGTGCCGGGTTTGCCCGCAAGCAGATTCAGCCAGCGGAGCAGCAGCTCCTTGGGAAGCTCCAGCTGGGCTGAGGGGACAGGTACAGTGCCTCCACACCAGCTCTCATGGGGATGCCACTGCCTGGCCCACAGGCTCCCCAGGACCAGCAGGGCCCCCACACTGCCTTCTGGGGCTCTGCCACCACGCCTGGACACCAAACTCTGGCTTTAAAGGAAGGACCGAAGTGTCCGCCTCTCTTCCCAAGTGTCCCTTCTGCGGGACCTCTGTCTCGCCACAGGCCAAGAGGCTGGAAGGCCACTGAGCCGAGGCCCTGCCCTGCCGTCCAGGAGAGCTCCAGGTCTGGCTCCCCAGCACCGAGCATCTTCCTCATCATCATCATCTTCCTGTGCACAGCCTTGCCCTGCACTGGGACCCACCAGCGCTGCCCCAGGCTTGTACAAAGCGTGCGAGGGCCCCCCCAGCCTGGCTCCCCCCCGGGAGCTCCCCGCAGGTACCGTGTAACATGTTTTGACTGTTTGACATGTAACTGTTAATTTTTAGAGCTGAAACCCCCAATGTTTTGTGTTGTACGTGGGTGTACTTCTGTGTACTTAACACTAGAATAAGATGTGCAAAATTAAGACCGAGGCCTCAGTAAAGAATCCCCCAAACCCTGCAGAGTTTATAAGAGACTTATATGCTCCCCCCCACCCCAGCTCTGTCTTGGGGGCCTGGCAGGCTCCCCCCAGCCCACCCATGGGGACAAATGTCTTCCATGTGCCCCCTACCTGGGCCACCGTGTGGACTCTCACCCTTCGTTGGCTCCTGCAGCAGTGGAAATGCAGGGGGCTTGGGGGCACCTGGGGTCCTTGGGGGTGCTTTGGGAGCAATGTGACTGCTTGTACAGACTTTTTTTTTTTTTTTTTTTGGGTTTTTTTTTTCTTTTTGCTTGCAAGATATTTTTATAATAAAAGTGAAAAGTCCTGTGCTGCTCCCGCACATCAGTGTGTCCCTGTGCTCGGGGGGGTCACCTTGGGGCTGCAGGGTGGGGTTGGGGCTCTGTGTGCCCTGCAGGGAGGAGAGGAGGGCTCATCCTGCACGGCCGTGTCGTGTGCTCTGGAGGGAGGGAAGAGGAAGGCAGGAGGTCAAGGCTGGGGTGAGGGCTGGGGTGCTGGTTCCCTGGGCACCATGAGGGAGGGGAGCAGTGCACCCCATGGGCAGGGACTGAGCAGGGGCTGGCCTGCTGCATCTTTAGGTGCAGGGAGCTGAGCTGGAGCTGGGGTGCCCACACTGCTGTGCAGGCAGGCTGGTGCTGGCTCCAGCCCGTGCTGTGAGTGAGCTGAGTGTTCCAGTGCTCTGCAATCACCTCCCCCCTTTCTCAACCTGGAGCTGGTGCCGGGGCTGTGTCTGGGGCATGAACTGTGTCTCACCAGAGCCAGGAACTGCCCTGTGGGGCTACACAGACACTCAAAAGGGAAGGTGCTGCCCAGGCTGGGCTTTCTCAGCACCGAGCTTCTGCTGGAGGGGTCACATATGAGGAAAGGGACAGTTTGCCCCTGCTCTCAGCACAACTGCTCCTTCCCAGCTGGGGCAGCAGCTGTGATTCCCAAAGGAGCCTCCCCTGCCTGCTCCTGCAGGAGGTACCTTGCCAGCACCCTACACACCCCTGTAGCAGGCTGAGCATGCCTGCCCTGCCCTTGCTCAGCTGAGATGGCCCTGTCACCCTCAGGATGTGGCCCCAGAGGTGCGTGGGTTCCCACATTCCTTTTGGCACCCATGCCACTGGAAGGATACCATCGTGTGCTGCCTGCAGGTGTCACAGCCCTCACCCCTGGCCCATCTGAGCACCCCAGTTTGGGGTGCTTGGTCTGCCCTGCAGAGCACGCTCAGCACCCAGCATGGCTTCAGCTTCGTTGGCATCTGCCTTTTATTGACTGCGCGGGGGAGTTGGGTGTTGGGGCATGGGGCTGACCCTGCCTCTAGAGTCGCTCTTGGAGGGGAGCCCAGGGGCACCAGGTGGGTGCTGGGGTTGGTGGGACACTGTGAGAGGCTGGGGAGGGGAATGGGGGCTGAGCTCAGCAGTGCTTGAGCACCTGGTGATGGTGCTGTGGCTCCACCAGCCACCTCTGCCTGTGGCCACGGCAGCCACCTCCCCGATCCTGCCCTGGCTCATCCTCCCTAGGGCTCGGAGCCCCCTGCCCTGTACCTCAACTGTGGTGGTTCCAGACTCTGCTGTGCTCCGGCAGCCACGGGAGGATGGAGGATCTGTGTCCCCAGCAATACACCCCCGGGAACCCTGGGCTGGGCCACAGCCACACCGCCAGCAGCCGGAGGAGCGGCACTGTCCCCTCCGTGCGCAGGATGGGCAGGTGAACCACAGAGGGACAACGGGATGGAACTCATGGTGCCCTGAGGGAACGAGGCAAGGGTGACACCAGCCACAGCGGGCTGGGCAGGGGACAGGGCTGGGGGCGATGGCACAGTGGGAGTGGCAGTGTGGGGACCGTGGTGCTGCCGTCGCACGCCCGGCTCTATAGGTCTGACACCTCCCCTGAGTAGGCGCTGGGATCCTCGTCCGAGCGGGTGGTCACCTTGAACTGCCGCCGCAGGAAGGCCCCGTAGCGCTTCTGATTGTCCCACTTGAGCTTGGGCCGGATGCGGCGCAGGAAGCCCCCGTAGCGCTTGTGCAGCTGCGCCAGCCCCGGCCCCTCGGCCTCGGCCCCCGTGGGCTCTTCGTCCCCGTCCCCTGCCGGCCCCGGGTAGTCCTCGGGGGCCGCTCGCTCGCCCGGCTTGCGGCTGAAGGCCCCGGACTTCTTGCTGAGGCCGCCCTTGCCGTGAGCGTTCTCGCGGAGCAGGGACAGCAGCTTCGCCTTGGACATCATCTTCATGAAGCCGCCGTAGCGCTTGGCCGGCGCCGGCGGCAGCTCTGCAGGGCCCAGAGCCTGCTCCGGCTGCGCCTCATCCTCCTCCGCCTCCGGTGGGGACGGGTCTGTCCCCTCGGCCAGGGCCACCAGCGGGGCCAGGAGCGCCAGCGCCTTCCTGCACATCTCCCACTCGGGGCCGGGTGACAAGGAGCCCTGGCATTCCCACAGGCACATCTGTAAGACAGCGGCCGCCGCGGCCCCAGGTGCTCGGGGTGAGCCCCTGCCTTCCTCCCCCCCGCCCCAAGCCCGGGGGTCCGTGCCCACCGTGCTGCTCAGCTCGGTGAGAAGCTGAAGTTTGCACAACCCCAGCACGCTGGGGTGCCCGTGACCATCACACCAGGTGCCACCCAGCTCTGCCACCCTGCTCCCGTGACACTCCACTGCTGTGGCTCCCTGGCTCACATCCGTGTGAGGCCAGCACTCACCAGGGGCTGGACGCTGCTCTCGGCACCGCGGGTCTGGGCTGTGCAGAGGGAGCACTGCGTGACACAGTCAGCAGATGCCACCGCAGACAGGGACAGGCAGAGTGTCAGTGCCAATGCCCACCGTGCCATCTCGCCCTGCAGACGCTGCCTGGAGAGGGGAAGACACAGCACAGAGCCTGTCACCATCCCTGTGCCAGCTCTGCGGGGCCATCACCACTCCACAGGGATTGGGCACCTACCACCTCCATGTGTGAGCTGCTGCTGGGATCATACACAGGGACCTGTGCCTGTGCCCATTCCCACATGACTCACCTCTGGGTGCTGCTCCCAGCAAGGACACCACAAGACACCCCTTACCCTGGCTGCAGCCTGGTCCTTGGCACACACACAGAGCCACAGCCAGTCCCTGGTGGCCACCAAGTCACTGTGGGCAGGACCACTATTGCACCTCATATCTCATCTCATCTCATCTCAGTTCCACCCCATCTATCCTCTCCATCTCTTACTATACCGTTAGAAAGAAAAGTCCCTTTTTTCCCCAGCACTGGGTTTCTCTGTGATTGCCACGTCTGCATGGCGCAGGCAGATGAATCACCCAGCTCTTTCCCTTGGCCTTGGGGAAAAGAACCACAGCAAGCAGAGCTGCGGTAGCAAGTGCATGGGGTGATGGCATGGCCCAGTGTGGACTCATCCCAGGCTGCTGTACCCCACACCAGGGCAGCCTCATCTCCCCTCCCTCTCACCCACCAAGTCTGCTGGGCTGGTGCATCAGGAGAGGAAGAAAAAGGAGGACTCTGGGTTCAAGCCTACCTGCAGACCATCATCGCCATCCTCCAGACGTTTGAGAGCCGTGATGGAGCCTCTGGCCTCTGCGGATGGACGAGGACACTGCTCAGCTGGGAGAGGGGCTCTGCAGGTGGCAGTGCTAAACCTGACCCTGGGTGAGGCTGGAGGGGCCACTGCCAACCCCAGCTGCAGTGCCACAGGATCACCGTGCCACTAGGACCATGATAGCCCTGGAGTAAGATTCAGCCCCAAAGGGGTGCACTGGCTGCAAACCCCTGCCTGCCTCCATTGCTGCTTTTATCTAAGGTGGGTAAGGCATGACCCAGAGGGATCTGTTACACATTAATGACGCATATTAGAGACTATTGTGCTCTCCAGCAGTAGCAGCTAATGTACTGTAATTGGTACTGATGAAGAATTGTTAATGCCACAGTATTAATTCATGCTAGATTAAAATTTAATTTGAATTATCTGCACCATCCTGTGTCGAGCTGTCTGCATTCCTTGGCTGCACAGCCACCAGCTCTGTGAATCCTCCCAGTGCCCTGGCAGTGTGGCAGGGAACAGGATGGCAGCTGCCCAGGATGGCAGGGGCACGGTGGGACCTCAGCCAGCCCTCGCTACTGAGACAGGGGACAGTCCCTTATTGCATCAGGGCCACCGAGACCGCGCCGAGGAGCGAGGACATGCCAGCCGCACAGGTAGGTGCCAGCTGCAGCACTAGGGGGAATGAAGCTCCCGAAAAGAGCTGATAACTGCTTCACAGGAGCCCCACCGGGAACCTTTTCTTTCCCTTTCTCCACCCACTTTCCCTCCCTTGCTCCTCCGCTGCCGGTATCCCCGTGGGTGCCGCTAGAGCAGCACGCAGGGACGGCACCGGGAATGTTCCCATGCTGGGAACAGCTGCTGGTTTGTCTGACACGGCACAGTTCGGACCTCTGGCATTCCAGACACGGTGTGTCCCATCCCTGTCACCCTACTGCCAGCTGAGGATTTCATGGCACTCAGGGGAGCTGCAGTTCTCTGAGCACGGCGTGGCCAAGGACACCCTGGGACACCCCACTGCAAATGTACCATGTTCAGGTGGTGCCACAAATGTCCCAGCAGTGCTCTGCCTGCTCCTGAAGGTGGGATAAGGAGGATTGGCAAAACGGGAGCAGGAAAAGGGGAAGAAAACAAAGGGGTTTGGACAAAAGAGGAAAGAAGCAGGGTGGAGGAAAAAGCGAAAATACAAAGGGAGGAAAAAGAAAAGCAGAGTTTGAGCTCAATCCTGTTTTACCTGGAGGAGCCCAAGGCTCCAGAGCCATCCCTCCTGCAGGAACACCTTGGAAGGATTGTGGCAGAGTCTGGCAATGCCAGCATTGAGTCCCAGCCTCTGTGGCCACTCTCAGCACATTCTGCCTGTGCCAGGTGCCTGCCGGTGTCCCTTCCTCCCCTATCCCATTTCCACTTGAGTCTTCAAATACCAGACTTTGCTTTGGAAAACCCCCAAGCTGCATCCATGCACCCCAGGGGCCAATTACAGACCTGGTGACCCAAGGGATGAGGAATCAGGACTGTGTGTGCCAGACAGCAGAGACTGACCCCATCCTGACTAACCTGTGATTATACCTAATGAAGGATGTGAACAGCTCTCCCAGACTGAGCAGATCCCTCCTCCCACACAGGTCCAACTCCACAGGTTTTGATCCTGCACATAGTTCTGGTGGAGAAGAACAATCAACCTTCCAACATCTCCTTTCCTCACCTCCAAACATTTCCTGGAAACACCATCAGGACAAGGCTTCTCAAAAAAGCTGGTAACTTTTGGAATATAATCACTCAAGCACTGCAGCCACACTGCTGCTTGAGCCAAGAAGAGGGAGAGAGAACCCCCCATCCTCTCTGCCCACTCCCTTTTACCCCTCAAAGCCCTGGGTGATTCTGCTGTCAGGTTGGCAGGCACAGCATCAGCACGGAAATGAACCCCAGCAGAGTTCTGGACAGCTGCTCATGGGCTCTGAAACCACTCAAGGGAGGTTTCAGAGGACAAGAGGGACCTGCAGCCATGTGAAGCTCCCCAAAATAACACAAGTCCAACCACAAGCCACTTTCAGCAGTGCTGCTCAGGAGGTGTTCTTAAACTGTTGCTTTTTGGGGAGCAAGAGCGATCCCCTGATTGTGCCCACGCCATGGAAGGGGGATGACAACCCCGGCAGCCCTACCTGCCGCTGCTCCCCGTCCCGCCGAGCACCCGCTTCGCCAAGTCAGGACGGGTCGTGGCTGATGGGTGTCCCTCCACGGGCGTCAGGCTGCGCCAGTCATCGGTGGCAAGGCCACACTGGCAGGTGGCCCCACGGTGCTGCCCGGGTTGTCCACCGGACTCGCCGCCGGCTGCCTCTCACCCCGCTTTTATGGCCACGGAGTCTCCTCCTGCGGCGGGGCCCGGCTGTGCGCGGCGGCAGAGCCAATCGGGGCGAGGGAAGCTGTGAATAATCAGCCCCGCAGCATCCCCGCCACCTCCCGAGCAGGCTCGCCCGCACCGCCGAGGCCTCCCCGCAGCCCCCGGCCGCCCCGGGAATCGGGGTGCACATCCCACCACTGCGGCTGCAGCACTTGGAGACACCCGAGTGCCCAGCCTCGGTCCTCGGGGCCGAAACGCGTGCCCCAAACAAGGAAGGTGGCAGAGGACTGGGATGGGGTCTGTCCGTCTTCCCACACAGCTGTGTCCCAGAGGGGTTTGGCTGCTGGGATGTGAATCCCCTGGACACCGAATTCAAATCGTGTCCAAGAAGGGTGCAGGGGGAAAAGGTGAATCCCTGACCTTCTCTCACCCTGCTCCCCAGGCTGGGGAGAGGCACATCCTCGTGGAGAGGCTGGGGAGAGAAGTGAGCCCATCCAAAGCTGCTAGGAAGGGAGAGAGGGTCTTCATGCCCCGGGAAAGGGATGTCCCAACCCACCCAGCCTGGCTGCTGTCAGGTGAAAAAGCCTTTGCATAAAACCCCCCAACCTCTGCAATGCCAGGGCTCAGAGCCCAGCTCCACATCTCCCTGAACCTCCTCCTCATGAGGGCAAACACAGATGAGCCAAAGAGGCAGGGGGAGATGGATGGAGGGAAAAAGATGCCCCCACTTTCCCCACTCAGCCCTGATTCCTGTTCTCACACATTTCCAAGTCTGATTTGGGGATAAAGGAGAACAGCACTGGGGCAATGACAGGCAATCCCTGAGCCCCTGCACCTCTGTCCCACTGTCACAACAGACATGTGGGATGAGGGTCCAAGGTGCAGACCCCACAGGACATCCTGCACCGTCCCCCACACCCCGGTGGGTGCAGACACATCCCCTGCGTCGCTGGCAGTGCAGCCAGTCCTCTTGCCTTGAAGATGGAGCTATTTTTATCGGAGCTCAAGAGGGATGTTTCCCAGCAACCTGCTGTTCTCCCAGCTCGAACACCAGCTGCTGGACCTGGTGCCCCCTTGCTCAGCCCTCCCAGCACTGGTGAGGGAAGTGGGGGCCATCGACAGGGCTGGGACCCTCTGCTGGGCACCCAGCAGCCACGGCAGCCTGTGCCCGTGGTCCTCCGTCAGGGCTGGTGATCAGGTCCGTCGGCATTCCCCCGCTCCTTGAAAAGCAGGCGGGACCCCACGGCTTTTGTCTGGAGGTGGATTTTAACTCGTCCAGGCTGGGGCTGTGCCCACACGGAGGGACCAAGGGAGCAGGGCATGGGGTGGGGGGCGGGGGCAGAGCCCTGCATCCTCCTCAGGGCCAAGGGAGGAACCCACCCCTCCATCCCTGGGGCTGCAGCGAGGGGGGATGGAGCTCAGGCCCCGCAGGGGCAGAGGGCGGCCACGGCCCCGCCTCGGGCTGTGCAGGCACAGAACAAAGCTGAGAAGAACAAAAAGCATCTGCAAACGACCACAACATCCTGAGCGAGGGGCTGTGGGCAGCCCTCGGGCAGTTTAACCCTTTCTGCTGGGACTGATGGCCGTGCGGGCACCACAGACACGGTGGGGTGGAGCACTTCTACACCAAAGCCATTATTTCTATATGAATATGTATATATGTACATACGCACCCAGCGGCCTGGGGCGCAGTCACCTCCCTGCACAGGGTAATTGCACACGAGGGAGATGTGTTAGAGATCGAATAAATCCCAAGGACGCAGAGGGAAAAGTTTGGAATAAGGCTCCTTCCCTTTGCGCCGGGTGGGAGGTCGAATTACTCCCGTCCCCAGAGCAAAGTGCCACAGATCTACTGAGCTGGGTAAGAAGGTCCTCCACGGGTCCAGGGCGTGGAGGGTGACAGGGTCCCCCGGGAGAGGAGCTGGAAGCCAGCCCACCCACCAGCAACTCAACTTAATATTCATCTGTCTCCTCCTAATGGGAAAGTGTCTCTGAGTCACACTGACATTTCCCTGGGACAATGGTAATTAAGTACCTGGGTAAGTGAAATGCGCGGTAATAGAAAAGTTAACTTTTCCAACTACATGAGTGAAAGGCGCGTTCGGCGAGGAGGGGGCCGAGCGTGCCAGGCACCCGCGGGAGCAGGTGGGAGTTAATGTCAGCTCGCGTCACACGGCGCTGCCGCTCTGCCCCTGAGCCCCCCGGCCCCCCCGAAGGACTCTGCCCCGGACCAGACAGGGCTCCCGGTGCCGGGATGGGCTAAATCACCCCTGCAGCTGGTACAAGCTCTGCCAGCCGCCGGGGCTGTCCCCAAGCAGAGGGACGGCGACCCAGAGCTGCTGGCCGGAGCTTCCCCAGGAAGGCACTCGCTACGCTGTGGCTCCTCCAGCACGGTCAGCTTTATCCCGTTCAGCGACACAGCTTTTCCAGAAACTCCCAAAACGTTTGCACAGCTGCCTGGCCTTGCCGTAGGCAGGAGAGGGAGGTGTTCAGACGCGTTTTGCGGGGCATGGGGAGAAATGCCGGGTGGGCGATGCCCGGTGTTCTGCTCCAAACCCGCGGGAGCTCCGATCCAGCGTGACCGCACCGGAGCGAGCCTCCGGCAAAGGGAGCACCGGAGCAGGGGGCGGTCAGCGCTGCCCAGGCGGGCACACGGTGACCTCCCTGCGTGGGCAGGAGGCACAAGTGCCACTCCACGGCGGTACGAGAAGCGCCGCTCTCGTAAACACGGCGAGTCACGCCGCTGCCACCGTCCCCGTCGCTCCGGGCTGCCGAGCGGCACCGGCGGCACGGGGCGGCGGCACGGCCCCCGCAGCCTCCGCGGCAGGCGAAGTGGCTCCATTTAAAAACAAATCGAGGTCAAACCACTTGCAGGAGCTGCAGCCGGCGCCGTGACACCGCGGGGCAGCCCCGCATTAGAGTCGCCGGTGGCTCCGGGGGTCGCCGTCCCTTGCCCGGGGGGACCGGCGTGACGCAGCCGGGAGCTGCTGGGGCTGCGTGATGGCAGCGGCACATGGCTCAGCAGAGGGTCAAGAAAACAGGGAATTTTGAGAGTTCCGCCGTGAACCGGCTCTGCAGACGCTGTCTTTGACCGGCCGCAGTGCCCGCTGCCAACGGCGCCGCGCGGGGGGCAGGAGAACGCGGGAGAGGCGGCTGGAAAAGGACATTTGGGTTTGGTCGCCATTCCCTCCCCAAATCCACCAGGAGCGGGACGGCGGCGTGCAAAGCCCCGAGCCCGGGGGCTGCCAGCAGCGCCAGGAACAGGATGAGACCTCCGGGCAGCCCGGAGTGGACGGGTACTGGTGATGCCCACGGCCCGCGGAACGAAAAGCAATTTTGGGACGGTGCGTGGGACAGGGACCTCTGTGGTTCACCCCACCTGCTCGCAGGAGAAATGCCACCAAAGCAGCCAAGACTCAACCCCGCGGGGACACGGCCATGCCGGGGGACACACTGCAGCCCCGCGGTCTGCCCCCGGCCCTCACGGCCCCTCGGGTCCCGGCGTAGGGCGGTCCCCGCGTGCCGCTCTTGGTGACCAGCGCCCGTTCCACCACACGGACACCCGGTGGGTGCCGCGCCACCCTGGGGTGCCCCCAAAACCCTCGGTCCTGGCCCGCAGGGATCCTCTCGGGATCGCAGCCACTGTCCCGGGGAACTTCCAGTTGGAAAGTCCCCGGTGATCCCCGACAGTTGGGTCGAACCGTCGGGGTGAGCGCGGCGCCCGAGAGGAGCCCCCGAACGCTGCCGGAGCTGTGAAACCGGCCCCGGCATGTTCCCCCTTCCCGGTACGGCTGCACAGCGCCAGCTCGCCGAACATCCAGCACCGCGCGTCCCGGGGATTTACCGGGTGCTCAGGATTTATTGGACCCGGGGCACCACCCCCTCCCCGGGGAATCACCTCTCCGCCGGCTCATCACCTACGTGTGCACCGCCCTCCTCCCCGGTGCACCGTGTCCCGGAGCATCACCCCCCTGGCGGCATCACACACAGCCCTCCCCGGTACACCCGGACCACCCCTGTACCGCACGGCT